CTGTGCATGTTGCAAATGTCTTGATTCGCCATGTGAAAGATGCCGGGATGAAACTGGGGGGGGTTCCACCCTAAAAAAACTGACCCAAATGTCCCTGTGGTTGTCCTAAAGCTGACCTGCTGAATTGGCCAGACAAAGTTTGGCCGAAAAAATCGAAACCCGGCAAGAACAAAGCTCGAAGTCTGCCAAATCACCAGCTAAGTCAAGGAACACCCGCCATGGAAGCGCACTTTTAAAATCCCAGTTGAAAGGCCAAGCAGCCGCGAACCTTACGCGCTTCGACATGCCTTCTTCGGACGACCTGAGCACTGGGCTGGGTTGACCAACGGAAATGGGTAGGGTTGTTTTCACTTCCCAAGTGGATGGGCCCAAAGGAATCAAACTTTCTGGTTGCCCCGACATGGTCAACCCCAAAAGTAGTAAGTCCAGGAGCTCAGGCAGTGGTTTGAAGGAAAACCGATGGGAATCTCGAGGCAAACCAAAGGGAAAAGCAAATCCCAGAAATGCGCCACGGAGAATCTCCCAGAAATCCGCTGATTGAATTTGGAGATTGTTCCCGCCCCATTCCCCACCTGTCCGCCCTGCGCAAGAAAGAAAAGAAAACGAAACATGAGATTCGGTTCGGTTGGCTTGGCATCTCTTAATTTCAGGGTTCTAATGCAGACTTTGACCCCGGGCCGTTTGAGTTGGCGCATGCTCAACTTCGCTTTGACTTTTGGTTGTACTAGGATGGTGATCAAGGGCTGCATAAGCTTTATGGTAGTTCCAATTGAACCAAGTAGTAGTAGAACCACCTATACACATGGGAGAAATTGGGATCTTTGTCGCTCAGGTGGAGAAAGCCTAGCACCAGCCAGGATTGCAACCACACGTTTCTCGCGCAAAAGGAAGCCCAGAAGTCAATTGTTTGCCCTTAAAACTATCATGATTCAACTCTTCCCATTTGGGGAACATTGATATCGAGAACCTGAGGCGAGTCCTGAAGACTAGCCACAGGATTTGGAGGCGTGTAGCTTCTGGGGCCATTCCGAAACGGTCCTGGTTCATTGGCGGTGGTGCTGCCGGAAATCCAGCAAACGCAAGAGAGCGGCGGGGTCACAAAACCCATTGGCTGACTTTGATTCTACCAAGAAAGCCGCTTTATCTACCCAAACCCACTTCCCCCACCACCCCACACTCACACACCACCTCACCCCACCCACACCGTTCTGGGAACTAAGACTTCCTCAGACATTTCTGAACTCCCACTCTAGTTTCAAGTTGCTTGTTCTTGCTTGCTCTTTCAAGCTTTCAACCTCTTATTTGCTGTCTTTGCCCTACGGGTCCTCGGGCTGCCCGTGCCACACCCCGACTTTCTTTTGGGGTCTCAAACCAAATCTGGGACCCTGAAATCTCTCGGGGTGCTAGGGGCGGGACGTTTCAAGCCTGGTTGCCCAAACGGGCTTCTGAACTACTTGGGCCACGGGATGCGAATCCTCTGCCTTACCCATTCGCGTGCCCCGATGGTTTTCATTGGTGTTCGTGCAAATGGAAGGAGACCAGCCAGTTTTAGGTTGCAGAAAAGCCGGCTGCCAGCGAGCCGTATCACACGCAACATAACAAGCCGCGTTATGCCTGGCTGTTGCGTTCACTTGGGCTTGCCCATCACCGCAGGTCCGCTACCCCCTGCTTATTGTAAGTGGATGAGGTTTGGATCCAATAATTCCAGTTTGCTATGGTCCATTTGGGAGGGACGTGGGGGAACACACCTTTATTTCTCACAAACACTAGGTGGATCACTCATTGTCCAATTTGTCCGCTTGGGGAAAGCGTAAGGCGTTCGCGTGTGCCTCACACATGAGTAATGCACCATGTCGCCATATCAGGTTGCGATCTTTGTCCGCTTTGCTGAGGGAAGTTAGCGGTTTCAAATGTCCAATTGGTTTCTTGTGATACTGTCCGGCATTCTTATGGCACCCCTAACTCTGGTCGCATTTGAAGAGGGGCAGGGGCCCAGCATTTCAGGCCAATGGGTTCCCTGGGCACCCGGCGTATCAGAGAGGGCGATGCCAACCCGCTGAAGCATCACTAGCGTCATCTTGCTATGCAGCAAACCCAGCCAAACGACGGCTACGCAGGCGCGCTTGGCACCAATGAGTAAGGCACCTTCGTCGTGAGCTCAGTTTTCGGCAAACTCCTTGACTCCCATTGTCAAAAAGAACGGCTATTTGGGAGTTTCCAAAGGAGACATCTAGGGACATGTTGGGCGGGCGCCACTAGGTTCACTCGATGTTTGTCTTATACGACTCCACCAAACGCCCCAAAAGTCCAAAAGTTTAAAAGCATGGCTGAGAACGGGCAAGAAGATTCTTGAACTTGGCCATGTCTGAGGAAAAAAGGGCCTGCCCCCAAAACATCTTAGCTGATACGTGAACCTTCCACCCCAAAGAGAGAAAGTAAAAATGCCGCTGGGCAACTGGCAAGCCACGGCCAGTATTCACAGAGTCGGTTGACAGGTCGCTTTGGGCAGCTCGACCTTAAGGCCAGTGACAAAGCCTGAGCTTTGATCCGTTTGACCTGGCAACGTCGAAGATGTCTACAGCCCTGCGGCTTTGTTTGCTCCGGGAATCCGGCTGAGTCGTGATCAACACCTGATGGAGTCTACCCATTTGGGCTCCCCTCCTCCCTCCACTGCAAAACCAACTGCGCAACTCTCTGGCGAGCGCTCAACACCCGAGCTGACTGTTCCGAGCTGCAACGGGCGACGCGAAAAGGATGGAAGCCAGGCGATAAGGGGTGCAAAATGGCATGGCCGCTTTTCTTCTACCAAGCTTATCTTCTTTCCCTGACAAAACGGTTCTGCTCAGGTTTAGGGAACTCTACAGCTCATACCAAGCGTGTTTCTCTGTTGTCTCTCGCATGCGCCGACGCAAAGGACCGCAACAGACCAAAAACCAGGGCCAGGGAACCCGCGCCGGGATCCTGCGCCGCCTCGAGGAAAAAAGGTGCGTCAACCGTTCGTTGGAACGACGTGTGGAGAAAAAACCAGGAAGACACGCCGGTGGACATCATTTTGGGATTTTATGTGTGTCCAACAAGCACATTTCTGGAGTGTCCCATTAGAATTTGAGAGTGGTACCTCCTGGGAGGCTGTATCTTCTACAAGGCAATGATACTTGCACGTGAACTTGGTTCTACATCATCTCGCCAGTCTGCTTCAAAGCTGCTTTGAATCATCTGGCAACGCTGCTTGAACAATACTGCATCCACGTTGGTGTCAATCATCCCAATACACTACTTCAACAATCCTGAGCCTTTCCACTTAGTAGCTAATCCTTTCAGTTGGAGCACTGCAATTCAGGAGATGTGCTCATATTTCAATGATCAAAAAAAAGGACGGGACAAATCCAGATTCTACTAGAATTTACAAAAAAAGAAGTTTTCCTTGTGTAAACGGATTGAATTGGGGTTTAAGTAGATGGACTTTGCGGTGATGTCCTTCCCCAGGAGGCTATGTTCAATCTTGCAAATTGAATTTAAATGGAAGTTAACAAGGGACGACTCCTAGTAGGATTTCTGATTCGATTCGACTTTAAATAGGATCTCCCTTTTAAACTATACTTCCATTCAGTTGCCATTAAATATGTTTGTTAAGCTTCAAATTAGATTTGTCCCATCAATTAAACCAAAAGTGGCTCGCATTGGATGTTTGGTTCCTTTTGGCTTCCCTTGAAGAACAATGTACCTTTTTCCTCGCAAACAAACACCCAAATGATGGCGTAGTCAAAACCTGCTAATAAAAGGGGCTACCCAAGGGCAATGACATCAACAACTTCGCCGCCCGTTTGCGCCCCACACTTCTCGGGCTCCCCGCATTGGCTGCATCGTGAGACCGTGAGACCCCGCCCAAGGGCTACACTGGTGGAAGTTCTGAGCAACGGTCGGAGCAGCCCAAACAAAAAAGACGTGCTGGTTCCCTGGTGTTTGAGTAGTAATGACACCAAACACCATCCCAGGCAGTTTGATTTGAGGGATCCCAAGCGGTCAATTCCCTGTTGAGAACCAGACAAAAAAGCAACCCGTGCATTTCTCAGGAGAGGTTCGGGTTTCGGCCCTTTAGAATTCCCACCCGAAAAGATCGATAGCCTAGTGTCTGAAACCAAAAGGGTTGAAACGTCAGGAAACCTGACCAAACGAGGGTTCCATACCAAAGTTGACTCCCCTGATTAATTACTTCATGACTTTGGAGGGCATGACTTGGAATTAACAGAAACTGGGCCCACAACCAAATGTCCCCAACCGCGGCCATCCCAACTCCCGTCCACACAGTGCTTTTCCCCTCAGATTTGGATCCTTAACGCCCGGCAGAACGCCTAGATTCGCGCGCGAGGCGGCTTAGAACATTGGAAACTCACTGCCGCAAGCTTGCAAGTTCGCCCAGACCGGCAGAGGCTGTCAATCACATACTGGGTGAATTATATCAGTCATAATAACCATTTTCTCTCTGCGGTTTAACATGGAGCCCAAAAATACACCTTTTGTAGAGGAATCTCCTTTTGGGAATCGGACCCCCTCACAGTCTCCATCTTAGTTTGTAGGGGAGTACCAAGCGAGAAACTAGAAATCCATCTCTGGGAAAGGAAGCGAAAGCTACAGGGTGGAATCAGTCGATTTTCAAATCCCGTAAGATTGGGCTTTAAGGTAAGCTGGTACGGGGAGCTGCTTGATTTCGGAAAACTGCCCCCATTTGGAGGCTGCTTTGCTCAGCGGCCCCAAAAAACCATCGGAAGGGATGAGGTGGAGAAATCCCATTATCCAGCGCCTGCAAAAGGGAAGATGCAGCTATAAATCGAAATCCACAGTCCTGATATGTCTTTGTCAAACCTCACCCCAGAAGGAATAGTGAAATCGGCCCATGTTCAAACCACCCGAAGAGGCAAAGAAGCTTGGCAAGGGGGGGGCCCAAGCCTCTCTGGTAAGCTTACAATAGCGGGGGTACATCCCCAAGTATCTCCCAAGGCTGAGGAATTGGTGCCCTTTCGGGTCGGTCCGGAGCCATCGATACGAAGCGCTCAGTCTTCCCACTCGAAACGCCTGGCCGAAGCCCATGGAACTGAGCCGAAACTGGAGCTTCCGGGCAAAGGGAAACGAGGTTGCCCGAATCTTCTCGGGCTGGTGACTGTGTTTGAGCTGTTGCAGGGTGCAGCCAACTGGGAGGCAAATTCGTGCGCTTGGAAAAAGGAAGCCACTTCAAGTGGAGCCCTCATGGGACAGGTCAGAAAGGTCCTTTCTTCAAGCCCCAAAGCCTACTGGGCGTCCTCAACAAAGACACACCCTACAAAGAATGGTAAGACCACTTGCTTAGTGCAGTCATTGGGGCTCACATGTTGCATATATGATATCCGGTCAGATTGTCCAATAGTCTATGGTCAATTTGGGAAGCCATCCAGCACTCCAGTCTCTTGAAGAAACAAGTCTGGGAGTTAGCTAAGTAGCTAGTGAGCCCTAGTCAACGCAGTAGTGACCCTAGTTTTCAACATGCGTATCACCCCCTTAGCGGTGTCTCCCAAACCATCCCTTCAAGAGTGGAAGTGCATAGCCTTTGCTCATGCCCCTCGGCTTCCTTATGACAAGTATACACATGTGTTCTTCTTCGGGGAAGGGGTCTATAAGCGGCAAGTTAAACAAGGGATCACTTGACCAAGGGGATTCTAAACGGGCGCAAGCACCCAAGAATCCCGGATCTGAGCTGGCAGGGAAGAAAGGGGAAGAAAGGGGCTGCATTTGGGGGATTCGAGTCACATGAAATCACTCGTCCAAGCCCAAACTGTTGATAAACTTGTTGTTGTCTTTTGTTTAGTGGCTGGATTGAACTTCAAAAAACCAAGGATTCGAGCAATTTGAGAGTGTTCAAGATACCCCTATGGGATGGTTTTGAAGGAGCCCAAAAGGAAACCAATCAGGTGGAGGGTACGAGCCAAACATAGCATTTGCACGAGGGTACCTGCGCAATCATGCTCCTCTTGCAACCCTGGCAGGTGCCACGTTAGTGGGAGGGAGTGTGCCCTTCTTGGATTGTGTTCAAGGGAACGCACAAGGAGCCACTCATAATAGGGGGGAGTCAATTTCTATGTTGAGACACGTCCAGGTCTGGGCGCAACGCACAAATCACATGGAACCAAGGAAGGGCGTCCCTCAAAGGGAGCTTCCTCTAAAATTACCCCGGCACGAGACCCCAAACAGTGATAGGCGGCGGTCACGCGCTGCAGAGTATTGTGCGGGCAGCGCCGCAAAATGGCGGTTGTTGTCAGGAAGCTGCACATCATTTTGCGGTATTTGCGCGCACACCCACAAAGACGAGGACAAGTGTGTGGGAGTAGAGACACATGCAGCACCAAGAAGAAAAAAGGCGCACAGGCATGGCCAGCAGGCATGCTCGTTTTTTCTTCCATGAGCAGCACATATCGGTGAGACGGCAGAATCGCAGGACAGGGCTGCTGGGATAGATGCGTGGCACTGCGCGCAGCCGCAGCAGGCCAGTCGCTGCGGTCAAGGCGTGGTAGCTTGTTGCTGCAAACAGCCGACGCGGCGCACGCAGAGTGCTAGTGGCAAGCTCTCGCAGCACAGAAGCGCTATCAAGGCAGGCCCAAAGACTGGGCTGTCTGGCTCGGACCCTTCCACAGCAGGCGTGTACAGAAAGCGCGCGCTCCCAGATCGCAGGGCGCACAAGAAGGCGTCAAACTCATTTGGCGCCATGTTATCGAGGCAGTTCATGCGGTGCAGCGCTGCGAGGGGCGGCAGGCCGCGAAGGCGCGGATGTTGGTCGATCCACTGTTGCATGGTAGCTTCGTCTGCACAGCGGAAAGAGTTGTCAAAGAAAGTCGGCAGGCGGATTTGTGCATGGATCCACTCGGGCGCATTCCAAGACACACGCACGTCAATGACATCGTGTGCCAAGAACCCTGGCAGCCACAGCCGTGTTGCCAGGATAAAATTTGCGTAAGCTTCTACTTCTTGGCGTACGGCACGGGCGCGCTGCATCCAGACGCGGCAACGTGCAGCACAGCAGGTCGTCATGAGCCGCAAGAACAAACAGACATCGCCTAGACACGCGGCCTGAGCGCAAAGCACGGGGTACATAGCAGCAGGCGGTCGAATACGTGCGCTTTCTGCTGGGGCGAGCTGTACTGTGGCGAACGACTTGGGTGCTTCCGGCGGGCTCGTCCAAAGCCCGGCAGATTGGCGGCACCGCGTGTCTCCAAGCGGCCAGCAGGCATGGCGCGTTGCGTCATCTTCACGCGCAGCCGCAGTGTGTTCGAGAGCGCGGCGTTCTCAGCGTCAACGATACTCGGATGCGCAGGCAGCGTCGAGGCATGAGTACGGAGAGTGTCGGCGGCAAAAGGACGGAGCTGAGTCAAAGCGACACGACTTCCACGCACAGGAGCGTTGTTGCATGCAGCATGGAGGTAAGACAAGGCATGTGAGGAAGGAACACACGGCTTCGTGCGTAACTAGTGTGTGGATGAGTAAATTACAGAGTAGGGGGCAAAGGAACGCGACTGCATTTTTCCGCGAGCAAAGCATGGCAGCTGAAGTTGGGCTGTGTCGAAAAGAACCAGCTTGTGCTTGCTTCTGGCTAACTACTTTTCTTATTGTGTTCCACCACAACAAAGCGCATCCGCTGCATCGATTGGTTATGCGCAAGGTTGGACATCGGCTGTCCCTGCGCAACCGTCAGCGGCGCACGTGCAAGCTTGTGCCGGAACGCGCAGGGACACGCGCAGGGACACGCGCATACAGGCACACATGCAGACACAGAGAGGAATTGGCGCGATGCAGTTGTGAAAGTATGTTTGAACCGCAGTTCTAGGCAAAGTACCGCGTTGCCATTGAAACAAAGCTAGTGCACGTGTGCGGACCAACAAGCCACCACCACGCAAGATCTCTGAGCCCTTTGGCGCTATCGAGTTATACAGTGCAACAGCAAGGAACATGACACGTTGAGTGCATACACGAGGAATGGAAAAGCAGGAAGACAAGGAACATGAGGAAGGAACACAGGGAGTCGTGCGTGAATAGTGTGTGGAGCAGCAAATACGACGTACGGGGGGCGCAAGAACGCGACTGTTTTTATCCGCGAGCAAAGCACGGCAGCTGAAGTGGGTCTGCGTCGGCAAAACCAGCTGCTCCTTGCTTCTGGCTAACTCCTGTGCGCTTGCATTCCGTCCGTCAGCGATCCGTAGAGACACTTCCAGCACCCGCCTGCGCAGCCGTAAGGGTTCCAAGATTCGCTCAGTCGCTGCAGGCGTGTACGCCCGGCGCTGTAGGTGCATTCGCCCACGGCTCTCCACGGGGGTGTGCACTCAGAGCTGGGCAAAGGGCTTGTTGCAAGGCGGGCGCTGTCGACTCTGTCCAGGGAGCATGCGTGCCAGGCGGAGGTCCGCGCGTAGCAGTCACGCTAGACATCAGGAGCAGTTGGCGCATGCACTTCGTGGCCACGTCAACATCTGCTTCACGCAGCAGCTGCAGCTGTTCCACAATGAGCTCGGCTTGCCCTTCTGTCGCAGACTAAGGCATACTGCAACTTTTTGCCCGTCCGAGGTGGGTCCAAGACGAAATCCTTCAAGTTATGAACAGTGCAGTAAGCTATGGCTGTGAATTTTTCGGCCGCGGCGGCGTCTGCCTCTGCTAAACCATCGATGATGTCTTTGGTGACCAAACGGAGCCCGCTGGCAGCTTCTCGTTGTTCGGTGCGCTTGGAGGACACCAAAAGGACCAGGGCTTTGTTGCAACTCAGACGACGGCGTTTTCCTTCCCTCTCAAGGGAACCGGCCTGGTGTGCGTCCACATCTGTGAAATGATGTTTGAAGTAAGCCGGGAAGGCGTGCATCCACAACCTTTGGCTCCACTTGAAAACCTCCAAAACTGTTTGTCATCAACTCTGACAGCCTCGCGGTGACCAAAGCATCTGCGCTTGGTAGAATCTGCGTCAACGCCTGCAAGAGACAAAAGAGGCTGCGTGGCCTCTTGCTTCAAGTCTTGTTCTTCTGCTTCCACCACAACAAAGCGCATCCGCTTCATTCCGGACTGGCTGTCTTGAGCTTGTGTCGCGGCGACATCTGCATCACGCACCGTGGCCAAGATCTTTACACTGGCCAGCAACGGCCAAGACAAAGTGTCAGCGGCACAGTGGGAACCGAACTCCTGGGCTGCTTCTTTTTTGGATGGGTCGAGGCCAGCGAGGTGACACGCTGCTTTCTGACGAATCCCCACGTCCAAGCAGCCAGAGAAGTCGCGGATACGAGCGGTCCAGTAAATGCGGTCTTCGTAAAGGTGTTCTGGCGGTGGAAATGGAATGTGAACATTGTTCAACTGAAAGACGCGACCGTGCAAATACTCTGTCTCTTGCTGCGCTTGCGCGTGGCAGTCCAACAGCGCACAGGCAGATAGGTGCCCGAGCACGGACGCGTAGTCTTTGGCAGCGTTATGAGGTTGCCACTCTTGCGTCAGCAAGGTTGCCGTGGCGTCCCAGAGCGCGGTCTCTTGATTGGCCGGCGCAGCCGCATGGATTCCAGTGGCAGTCTCATAGCGAAAGCCTTGCAGAGCCGGCGTGATTTTCGCTTCACCACCGTTGACATTAGCCTCCAAGGCAAAAAAAGTCAAAGGACCTCCATTTTGCAACTTGTTTCGCAAAACTTCCAACTTGGAAGCGGAGACACAGAAGAGGGTGGCGGCCACTTCTGCAAACTTGCCTGTCTCGACCTGCGAAGCATCTCGCAAGAAAATTCCGTACTCTTCCATGGAGTTCCCTCCCCATCTCGCGAGGCACGGCGTAGTCCAGAAGAGCCTGAAATGAAACCGCCGGCAGCACGGCGAGAAGCTTGTCCTTCGCCAGCGCCCGAAGCTCTTCCTGCTCCAAACTTCTCCCACCTTGTTTCCGGCTAATCCCTGCGTTCTTGCACGCCGTCCATAAGCCCTGTCGATCCGAAGATAAACCTTCCAATAAAGCACCCGAGATGCTCGAATTCCGCGCGCACATCGGCAGGCGCGGCTTCCAGCAGCGTCGCCAAGATTATTGCGCCCATGGCTGCGCAAGCATCACTACAAAAGGCAAGATCTGTGTGTTTGTTTCAACAGGGTGCCTGAGTTAGTGAGATAGCTAGCTAGGTAGCTTCTTCCTTGGTTCTCGTTGCTTTGTCTCTGTATTTCTTTCTTTCTATGAATGTGGCGCTGTTGCTGTTGCTGTTGCTGTTTGGTGGTTGTTACCATCGAGAAGCCGTCGCAGCACAAAAGAACCATCCAAGCATGCCCAAAGAAAGGGAAACAAGCTCGCGCGGACAGGGCGGGAATCGAGCCCGCGACCTTTCGCCGGAAACCCATGCCGCCGGACCACGAGACAAAACCCCCACGGTCCCTGGAGCCGCCAAAAAAAGCAAAAAATCGAGTTTGTGCGAGCCTGCGCAATCGAAACGCACTTCAACATCAAGCAAAAGCAAGAATCTGCAGTAAATACCACGCGAAACGCTCGCGGACAGAAGTCGACACCTCACTTTCTCCGAGCCTGCGCAGTCGAAACACATTTCAACATCAAGCAAAAGCACGAATCTGCGGTACATACCACGCGAAACGCTCGCGGACAGAAGTCGACACCTCACTTTGTGCGAGCCTGCGCAGTCGAAACGCATTTCAACATCAAGCAAAAGCACGAATCTGCGGTACATACCACGCGAAACGCTCGCGGACAGAGCGGGCACCTCAATCTGGCACCAAGGCCTTTTCTCTTACCGTAAGAACCCCTTAGTGTAGACAAACTGTTTGGGGGAAAAAGGTTTTGGGGGGGTTCCTTGCGAGTGTGTGGGGCAGTTGTCACAGAAAGGACATGGCGCACTTCAACTGAAAGGTCAGAATTCAGAAATGCTGTCTTGAGTTTTTGTTCGTCAGGTGTTGCCCCTACTTCTCCAATCAAATCACAACACCCAGCCCCTTTTTCCGCACATCGTTGAGTTCAGCCAAGGCTTTTCCCGCGGTGTTCCGGGCAGGCTCCGGGCAAGTTCCAACGGGCAGGTTTGGAGGTTTCGGGAAGTGAACAGTTGTGGGTGAAAGTATCTGTATATGCATATGTATATGTGCGTCTGTATGTGTATGTGTATGTATGCGTGTCTGTGTGCGTGTATGTGTGTGTGCATGCATGTGTATATTTCTCCATAGGAGGGCAGACATCCTTTACTAAACTTAATGTGTTTCGCAACGCGGTCGTAGAAAGGACAAAAGACAAGGGGGACGGACACACACAAGCTGCAAGCAAAGCGACAGCATGTTTTTGCACAAGCCATTGACTTGAAGAGCTTCATGTGGAAGAGCTGGAGCTGATGCAGTTTGCTCGCGCACGGAGATTGTCCGCATTTGGAACAATTGCAAGGCGTGTCGGAGCCACGTTTGCAACTGCCAGGTGGCTGGCTGCCGGAAACAGTCAACGACGCGGAGCTTGTGCTCAAAATTGCCTGCCTCCCGCGCGGTGCAGCAAAATACAATTCCTGAACAAAGCACATCACAGATGATGCCAGCGACATGTCAAAGTTGATGGTTTTTCCAAAGGGGGTGTCGATTTTGGGTGGTCCGGGCTCTCGTTTCTGCGGATGTGTTTAACGCCGACTGTTGGTCAAGGCGCCTCGAAGACCGCCGACGACCAATATGCTTCTGTCGGATACTCATTTGTGTCTGAACTCAGAAAATAAGTGTAGTTATATATATATATGTTATTTGCTAGCTGAGCCAAGCCCCCTACCATGATCTACATTTTACATATAATTCCTGCTTGTGTTCTGTCCCATCTGCAATTTTAAGTCAACTCCATACTATTTGGGAATAGAACTTCCAATAAGATTCCATCTGTTTTAAGGTCTACTCAAGATTCTATTTGATGTTGATCGAAATCCGTTTGGGAAGGAACTCCTCTTGCTTTAGAGGATATTTCTGAATTTAAAGGTTCTAACTGAGATGTCCCACCTGCAGGTCATTGCAAATGATTCCTCATCTGCGAATTGAGCCCAAACAGAACCAGCAAGAGTCCATCTACTCAAATTCTGCTTCAATCTAATTGAAAGCGCTAGGGACAAGAGGTTCATATTTAAGTTCTAAAGCACATTCAATCTCTGATTAAAACTTGTCCTTATCGAAATCTGCTTAACAAGATAGATACAGATATGATATGAAGTTCACGTTTGGAAAGAGAATTATCTTTAAATTGTGATTACGAGTAGAAATTCTAACTGACTGTGATTTTTGAATTCTGCTCAACATGATTCTCAAGCCACATCCTGCTTGGCAAAGCGGGCCTTGAAAGGATCTGCCAAGGAGCTTTATGCAAGGAACGTCTTGGAACTTGCGACAGGGACCAGGAGGAGCTAACGGAGCCATAGGATCTTCACAGTGAGCCCCTCAAACGAATTGGGGGGGTCAATAGCGAGAACCCCCAAAAAAAAAATGGGGGTCAGACTGGGACCTGCCTGAGTAGTTTTCCAGTATTGTTTAGAATTGGTTTAGTATTGGTTTAGTATTCCTTTGAGCTGGCTCACTACGGCTTAGAATTGGTTTAGTATTAGTTCAGTATTCTTTTCAGTTGACTCACTACAGTTTAGAATTGGTTTAGTATTGGTTCTTCTTCTTGGCAGGCTGCCCTGGCCATTTTTTTCTTCACAATTCCCTAACCTTAAACAAACTGCATTATTGCCTTCCTGGGGGTTCCGTGTGCCACCCCCTTGAAAATTTGTCAGGGTGCATCTTCTAGTAAAGGGATTGATAAGGAATTTGGTGGTTTGGGACAGGAAGCAATCCAGAAATTCTGGACATTTCTGGCTGGACTCAAACGTTTCAACCCTCAAAAATAGTCCATTCTTGGAAGGGGACATATTTTCGGGATTTCGGGCAGATTTTTCTTCTGTAATACCTACCCTTTTTGCTTTTCAGGGAGTGAATAATTTTGAGTTTTTTTCCGTATTCACTCCCGTTTTATTAATCGCTATCTAACATTAAGGAGCCTGATGAAGCTCGAGTCAGCAATTTACAGCCAACTGTTGATTATGCTTGAAAACCAAATTCTAAGCCCACCCTGTCCTTAGATTCTGTTTTCTGACTAGTCAAAGTCGTAGTTGGTAAGAAACCCCCTTTTCAGTCTAATCTAGACTGAGGTCACTGACTGCAAAAGTCAAAGATTCAGTAAAAGATGTCAATGCATATAGGAGCCTTGGGAGCAAGGCATGCGCATATATGGCCCGCCCTTTCTCGAGTGATTTGTTTGTTTGTGGACATCTGGCCTTCTAAAAAGCAAAGAACCTCGGTTCGTTTGTTGCGTGAGGGATAATGCCAAACACACGTGAGAAATTCAAAAAACAAGTGAGGAAAAGGTTAATCATGGGGCTGACCGTACATGTAGAAAAGTTATGTAGGAACTAGTCGAAAACCCCGTTGATTTTCTCTGCACCTGGGCCTCGACTCTGGGGCCCAGGCTCCTTCTTTTTCCGGGGCTGGGGGCTTCCAGACCTCGAGGCTGCAATGAAGTAACCCCCCCCCCTCTGTTTCCCCCCTACAGCCTTTGTTGAGGGTAGAAATCCCAAACAAATGTGGGCAGCAAAAGCATTTGGCCAATTCGCCGCTTTCGTATGCTTTCGTCCCTCCCATCCCCGAACATGCGAAATCCAGGGGGGGCAGGCAGCCTGATTCTTGCACCGGTTTTTCCTCATGATGGCCAACAACAGCGGGTCGGGGTCGAAAAACTGGGTCTCTAAAAGAGGGAAAACTGGCCTGCCGCTTTTCCTACCAGTTTAAGTCTTCCAGTTCCCACCCAAGGTTAACAAGACCTTCTGGCTTTGCAGGGGCCGGCAATCCCTTGGCTACTCTAAGATGAAACCTGCACCCTCAGTGACAAATGTCGTTTCCGGCCCAGTTTATGATCTACAACAGTTCCAAAAGCTGAAACAAGAATTGAATCCCCAGGCAAAGGACCTAGAACAACGTGATCGCTTGTTTGACCCCGGTATCGCTCAGTATCGCTTAGTATAAAATCGGTATCTACCCCCTTCTGAGCGCCCCGGCTCAGATCTGTCGCGTCGCCGCTTTTCCTGTAGTCGCGAAACCGACCAACTCGCACGGTGACCGAACGAGGAATCCCACGGTTTCAGCGTGGCTCTATGCGGAATGGGCCAAAGAACTGATCAGGGTCGGCCCAAGCCCTTGTTCAAACATGCGCACACCACTATTGTTCAAACAACCTCCCTTGCGCTTCCTTTTAAAGGGTGCCACAGTGTATTTACTTAATACATGTTTTGGCCAAAGACCTACATGCAACCCGGGTTCAAAACTTGGCAATCAACGTTGGGCCCTGCAAACTTCACACGTGCCATGGTCAAAACTCTTTATGGTCTATGGTTCCCTTGGGAATCATAGTTGAGAATCCTGACCAGGTAGATGACCATTCCGAGGTTAACTCCCCAAGTAAAACAACTGTTCTTACCATGGCACGCCTAATGTAAACCCCGGATTAATCACCCCCTGGTTGATGAAAATAGGGGGGGCTGTCCAATTCCTTTTAGTAGGGATTCAGACCACTTTTGGAGGGGTCCCCACCGCCCTACTAATGGGACGGCGTTGGCATAGGTGTCCTTTTTGGAAATAGATGGGTTTCCCTGGTAGATGATTGAACCAGGTAAACCAGGGATCGCCTTCTATTTCTTTTACGCCAAAGAACCAAAAGGACACCTATGGGCGTTGGAACATCCCTAAAAATGGGACGGGTTTCTTCAAGTCCGGCCAGGCCACCGCCCGGTCATCTCGGCCGCGCCGGTCATCCCGCCGGTCACGGCGATCGTCGCGCCGCTCGTCGCGGCGGTCGTCGCGGCGGTCGTCCCTGGGCTGCGAAGCTAGCCCTGGGTCTATCCCTTTTTTGAGGGTGCTCCATGTGTGGCTTTCAAGGGAAACTGAGAGGACAACTGAAATCCATTCTGGGGGTCCCCCCAAAAAAGGGCTCACTTTCGTGGAGACTAAGATAAGCCAAGGATGAGCTCCTGACTTGACTTAAAGGCGAAAGGAGATAGACCCCTCCTCCCAATGCACCACTTGGTACATGACACACATCAAACCCTTGACTCACTTCCGGAGTGGATTGGCCAAGAAAAGTCAACGTGTTTTCCCGCAAGTGTCAAGTCCGGGAACTCAACTAGTTGATTCATAGTGGCGTTGATTCATCCTAGGCCAATATTGATGCCCTTCTACATAACGACATACATCTGCTGTATTGATATACCCTTGCAGAACTACATGGGAAAACAATATGCATCTATATATAGATATGTATAGAACTGTGTAAATGTCTAAAGGGTGTCCGCTCATCTCTTTACTCGTGCTGTGTACTCCTGTCTGTGATCATGTGTGTTTTACGTCTGGTTGGGCTTTCGGGCATATGGGAGGCCTGCGACCCGTCGTGGTCTGGCAGGGATCCCTCCCGGCTTCCAACGGTTGCAACGCATGTTTTTCCCGCACACAGACCAAACCCATCCAGGGCCCCTGGGTTTCCCTCCCTCAAGCCCCCAATGCCGCAGCGAAGCTGCACTCGCGTACCCGCCTCCGTCTGCCGGCGTCTCCCTCGGGACCCGGTGGTAAACGCCGAAGCTCAAAGGGCACCGATCCAAACCACCAACCTCAAGACAAACGGGTTCACCTTTTGGGGCCACTAAAAGAGAGGGGTACGCTGTGGGCCTAGTGGTTTCCATATGAAATGGTTGTTTTTGCTAGGGCCCAGAGCGTTGTCTCGCTCGACCCAACTCTGGGGTATCTCTTGACCCAACTCTGGGGACCGGACAATTTATAAAATTGTATGATTATGCTTCTTGAATTCTGAACATTAAAACATATACAAAACACACACACACACATGATATTCGACCCCACTGACTCACTGGAATGTGATGAATCCCATGTCCAAATAGTGTATTGGTGAGTGTTTATCGTGAGGCCGTATCCAGAGGCTCAGACATGTCTCGCCCTGGGTGAGCATCAAAACAGTGTGTTCCCGCAAGCATAGCGAAGGTCCTAAATAGCAGGCATATGTATGCATCACAAGCAAACCAATATGTGGTAGCTTCATTGATCGGAATCCATATTCCTGCCTTATAGTCAAAAGGATCCGTCCGAGCCAAACCACTAAGAAGCTGCCTGCAGTCTTCCCTTTTCGATTCAAAAAGGCAGCCAACGCGCGCGCGTTTCACCCGAGCTGACTTTTGGTTCCATTAACATGGCAACAGAGGTTCATACAGACTTTGGTATAACACCATTAAAGTAGGCAGAATCACCCACTTCAAAATGGCCAACAGGGTTTTGGGCGCTGCTCGAACACGCCAGGGCGTCCTCTGCCAAATATGGCCTCGGTGATGCTCCAGTCCTCATCCGCCTCGAGGACACTCGCGCACGCGCCCAGGGCTCGCTCCGTCGGCGTTGAAAGTTGTGGGCAACGAGGTCATAGTCAGCGGCCACTGCTGATGTGTCAATCGCCTGTTTCGATATTTTGTGTGCATATATATATATATATATATAAGGACTGCCAAAGGATGGAATCCACATGAAAGGCCCAACCGACTGGTCCCCATTTTGGAGGGATCCAAATCACTTGGGGAAAGGTGATGACTTTGCCGGGCTTCGCACATCCGGGACTCAAATAGTGGGCCTCCATTCTCGTTCAAAACCAACCAGAAGGGTGGTCTCCCCAAAAAATGGCACAACAACCAGAGGAGCGACTGAAACAGCCACCTGGAAATAGTCTGGGAAGGACCATTTGGGTATGTGCCAGAAAAGTGCACCTAAAAAAAAAGCGGCTGTTGTCCTTCTGCTGTTTCTTGAAACCAAGAATATTCGAATGAGCACCCTGAAATCAACAATGCCCATTTGTCGGTTGCATGAGTTGGGCACCAGGTTGGGGCACGCTCCCGGGAGTGGAAAAGGATCCCGTTGGGTGCACGGTCAAGGCGGCGCCCAGAAACTTCGATCCGCAGACCGTGCCCGTGACGTGCCGCTTCTCAAAACTGGGCTGTCCGTTTTCGGATCCCCTGCTTAAAATTTAAAAGTCTAAGCTTTGGAGGCGGAAATGGAAACCCAACCACTAAACCCTAGAAACCAAAGACAACAAACAACAAGAAAAGGGGCTCCCCGTTTTGGACAAATCATCTCAGGCCTCGGCCAGGTACCGGGATACCCTTAAGCCGCTCCATCCGAGAGCCCCAAACAAACTCAGGGGACCGGGATACCAAAGGCCCGGTCTGAGCAAAGGCCCGGTTCGGGGGGCCCTCCTTTCCTTTCCCCGACCCACGACTGTTCCCAGTGCCAACATCCCCAACCTATTTCCATCCACACGAATTCCGCACGCGCCTGGGACCTTGACCGCCTTCGGGGCTGTCCACCACCCTCCTGACGTTGCGGTGGGCTTTTCCAACGGGCGGCGCGCCTTGGCGAGGACCGAGGAAACGGAGCGCCAAAACACCCTGGCGCCAGAGTATCGCGCTCGGTGAAGGGATTCAAAAGGGAAACCGAAGTGAAGCCAAGCAAGAAAGGCAAGAAAGTGCTCCCTTTGCCGAAAAAAGAAGCAAGGGGGCTAAACATCGGAGGGAAATATGCCGAAAAGAAGCAAGGGGGCTGACACATCGGGCCAAACCAATCGTCTACCCAGTTTGATCATCGGTCAACGGGCAATGGCTGCTCGCTCCTTCTTTGCCTCTCTGGCTTGGCGCTCAGCCTCTTCCAGGTCCTGCCTCAGATGGGTCTCTATGGCTACCGCAAGCAGTGGCTTCGGATTGGTGGATTGCTGGGTTAGGGACTTCCCATTGGCCAGGAAACCACCAGTTGGTTTTTTTTCTTTTTTCTTTTTTTTCTGGGGGTCGGGGTCAGTCCATTTCTTCCGTTTCTCATTCCCTGCGTATCGCGAGCGTATCGCACCAGCAAGTGTTCGGCTTGATTCCAATTGGTGGTTTGGAGCCCGGTTTGGTGGGTTAGGGAGTGGTGATTTAGTTCATTTACCCTCCACAAGAACCTGAACCTCAAATCCCCAATGCGACCCAAAACACCAATTGGGAGTTACCTGAAGCTTTGTTGCTTAAAGCAACCCAAAAAGGGTACCCTACAAAATTACAGCTCCAAATCAACGCGCCAGCCCGGTTTTAGGGGCCTGGGCGATACACAAACACCCCCACTTGCCGTGCTATACCCGCACGGCCTGAATTGGCAAGATACGGCAGCAGGTGAGTGGCGTTGTGAGGTGGGAGGATGGGAGCCCGCAACCGCGAACAAGAAACACCCCCCAAACTTCCGGCCCACGACTCCAATAGTCCGCCGAGCCTGCTGTGAGAAGGCCAAAAGTGAACTCAGAGAAAGGAAGGAAGACTCAACACATGCTCGCTGTTGGGTGCAGCATGTCGCAGAAGTGGCGGCGGTTTAGGTTTCAGGATGTTGGGATGGATGAATCCGTATGAATACTGGTTGGTAAGCCACCTAGCAACTGCTGCGTTTCAGGGATTCTCCCCGAAGGTTGTTCACATCAGAAGCAAAACGGACCTGAGCAGCGCTCGAAGCCCATTGGCCTTTGGCTCTACACTAACTACGTTGATTCACTGTCACCTCCATGTGTTGTGCTTGATTTAAAGCCGTACTTATTGGCATCACAAGAGAAAGCAGGTAGAACTTCCCACCAGAATGGCCCTGGCCGGGCATTTGTTTGTGTTTCGACACCGCCTCACTGTCCAACCCTGGTGTGTAAGCCAAAAGCTTCGGTCTTTGCACCCTGCCCCGCTTAAAACAAAACACCTGCAAAACAACACAAAACCGCAAACGACAAACCAACCCCTCCCCCCGAAAACAACAAGAACACAAACACAAAAGGACCAAACAAAAACCTGCCAATGGATTCCCGAGCTTAGCTGTGCATCGCTCGGCGCCTATGCGCTACGCATCACCGTGCATGTCGCGTCGCTGAGGGCAGGGCTTCCTTCTCTTCAACTCCTCCTGCACCTTCTCTGCCTCCTCCTTCTTCTTCTGCAGCTCTTCCTGATCCATGTGTCTGGGAAAACCGGAAAAAGAAAAAAAACCGGTTCAGAGAATGGGTGTGTCTCGAAGGGGAAGCCTGTTGGGTGGCGCCCTTTTGGCTTCGAAGAAGAAAAAAACACGCAACTGAAAGCCTGGGGGTCCAGTCCGAGAAGCAAATGGCAAACCATACGCTGAACCGGCCAAGGGGCGACTCAAGTTTAAACCATGGCTCAATACCACTGCGCAAGCAACCTGAATTCGGCTTCCAGGAAATGTGTCGGGCCTGGGAATCATCAGGATTGGATCTCTGAAACCGGATCCCGAAATCCATTTCGAAGGCACAACTGGGGGCAGACAACCATAGACACGATCTCACTTCCTGAGAGGGTTGGCCAAAAACAGACCAAACTGTTCGTTTGCCACCAAAATGGTTCTCTCAGAAAGCGAAAAGTCCAGGGAGTGAGCATTCCTCGTAAATGGCCCATTTCCGCATGGCGAGACATCCTTCGGAATAGACAAATTTGACAATTTTAGAGCTTTGGAGGTCCATGTCCTGTCAAAGGAAAGGAAGCAATCATCTTCGAGTGCTTCGCAGGATCTGCGGATGCTTGGTGGGGGGGTTGGCTACAAGGGACATTTATGGCCAGCGGAGCGCACAAAAAATTAGGCTCCGGGGGGCACGCCGAATTATGGAAATCGGGGTTGGGAAGTTCAGCCACTTGCTTCTGCAAGGAATCATGAAGCATTGGGGCTTTCCCAAGGAACCATTTGGGGGATTTCTCACTTGATCGCGGTCGAGAGAGGCACGCAAGTAGTTCAGACAGGCCTTTCAGGAAGGTAGGAAGCACATCTTTGGCCCAAAAATGTGATGTTAAAAGCCCACCAAAAGGGAAACACAGGGAACCTTCCGTCATATGGCTCTGGGTCAAAAATCGGTACCCAAAATCGAAGCCTAGAAAACGGAAACATGGACTAAAAGACTAAAACCTGCGGTCCCCTGCTGTGTTAATTTTGACCCATACCCATATATTCCGATTTCGGGTGCCAAAGCTCCGCTTGCAAGTGCCAGCAGACCTGCCTTATGTGTGGTGATTTAAAACCTTCTGGTTCAGTGGCCGTAGGGAGAAGCCTCCGGCTTCCGCTCCGAACCAGTCCGAAACACCAAAGGGTCTTGGCACGTCAGGTCCTTTGCCATGCAACTGGACAGTCCAGAGCCAGTTTTTTGCCCATCCGAATGGGCATGATGGTCGAGAGTTGCTGTAAGGTTCTCTACGTTCTCAGACACACTTTCCACAGGATGTTCTACAGGAGTTCAGCCAAACACGAAAAAGACATAACCGAAATTCCCGTAGTTGTCTTTAGTTGGACAACCTCCAGTTTGAAGCTTACCTAGCTTTTGAGCATGTTGAAACCGGACGATGGCCCAATGGTTTCTCGTTTGCCCTCTAGGAGATTCAACCCCCCAAATCACCGACTCGTCTGCACCAGTGGGGAACAGAAACCGGATGAGAAGTCATGGCCATGGCCTGAAACAGGTCGAATCGTGAAATTCCCAAGTCAAGTCCAGTTGCTCTGGTTGTCTCCTGCGCCTTTTCTTCTCCGAACACCAAGATGTTATCCGCCAACCGCCCGTTTCGCGTTGAGATGTCCGAACCTGCCGGCTCGGACTCCTTACACCTGGAATATGTTCCTTTCCGCTTGGTGCAGCGATGTCTTCGGAGGAACGTGTGAGCCTCACACAATCTGGTAGAGCTTCTGGCTTCTGGTCTGCATTTCTTAAGTCCCCTGGAAAAAATGAAAATATGTCCAGTAGTGGTAGATTCCCTGTAAAGCCAACAGGGGGAAAAATAAATCCTTCACCAAATGGAAGCTGGTGATGCTTCACTCCGTGAACCCATGGAGACCTTGGCAAACAACCCACGGTCTTTGCTCCGCGCGACGCGACGACGTGTCCCGCGCACCGCGGGACCTGCCTTCTTCTGGTCTATGAACTCCCTGGGCACACCCACAGGGCTCTCCTGCCGAAACCGGGCGGGGCCAACCATCTGTCTCAGCATCTGGGTGGCTCGTCTCGGTTTGGTCGACCCCGGACCCCCCCCTCCAGCAAAGAAGAAATGGTCTTCCTTGCGGCTTCCCTTGAACCCCGGCAAAACAAAACTCAAAAAAGACAAACGCATGGTAAAACACCATCGTTTAAACAACCTTCTTTTGGCTTCATTTCAAAGGGTACCAGCTGGTTGAGCAAACAGAACTCGCCCCCCACACTGGTGTGAATTTGAATTCGCTGCCTTTTGGTGGGCATCAGAAATACATCGGGATTTGTGCAAGCTAGATAGTGTGCCCCCTTTACATTCATGGCCACTTGAAACTAAAAATCAGCCACGACCATTTCCCCTTGAACCCCAGTAAACCCCAGTAAACCTTGCAACCATCTGAGTGGACACCAAAAACAAACCACCGGAGCAAAGCTGGTCCCTAGAACCCAGAATTTGTTTGGAGTCCTTTAGAGTTCCGAGTAGGGTTGTCAAATAGGAGTGGTTTGCCTTTTGAACCACCCCAAAAAAAGGGTTCCCTCGAAAAAACAACCCCAAGAGTGGCCAGCGGACAAGAAAAAAGTGGCCAAAGGGGCCGGGGAACCGAAAGGAAGCTGCTTGGACAGCGTGCGTTGAAGGGTTCTAGAGCTTTGACCTTCGCAGTTGGTTTAAGTACAAACAAACAAACAAACAAAGAAACAAACAAAAAGCAAGAAAGCAAACAAACAAAACGGACAAACACAAAGGCAACCAAAAGGGTGGTTTGAAAGAGTCCCACCTCCTACTTGCTGACTGGGGTTTCTTGTTGGTTTTGCAGCGCCGGTCAGAAAAGTAAAAGTGTGTGTTTGTCCCCGACAGAAAAAAGAGGAGCAACGCAACAAAACAGATCCAAACATGTAACCAATGTCACCAGCAACACAGATACAAGAGCCAATGCAACCGCTGATTTGTCCATCAGAAGCCAGCCAGAGACGTGGTTTGTGACAACCAGTTTGCTGGCTCTAACACGGCCCACATTTCTTAGTGGCACCGTTAGATGTTCACACTGCCAAACGTGTGTTGAATGACATCCTCCCGCTTTCCCCCTTTTCGAGCCCCTTATCAGTGTCCTTTTCGAAAAAAAAAAAAAAGGAAAAAAACGCATATGTGGTTTATCTCTAAACGGTAGACCCCCCAAGGAAATAGGGTTTGCAGCTTTACCCATAGTGCCCCTTTAAAACCAACATGTTTGTGGCTTTACCCAAACCAATAAACAAAATAACCCATTCAAACCAAAAATCCCAAGAATCTCAATTATCCCAATTATCCCAAGAACCCAAACCAATAAATGGTATTCATTCATTCAAACCAACGACTGGAAAAGCAAACAAATCAGAGTTTTCCCCAATAACCCGTGCTTTCCATTCAAACCAATAAATGTTTGCAGCGACCCGCGCCACGCGGCGGTTTCAGCCGTTTTTTTGGGTGTCCTGAGCCGAAAGGAGGTGCTGCCAGAGCTCCGAGCAGAAGGGGGCGGCCTTTGGCGCAAGGAAACGGGCGTGGGCGGCGTGGGTTTGTGAAACCAAAAAGAGCACCCTCAGAAAAAGGCACGAAAGAAAGAAAGAAAGAAAGAAAGAAAGAAAGAAAGAAAGAAGGAAGGAGAGAACAAGAGGGAGAGAGAGTGAGAGTGAGAGTGAGAGTAAGCGGAGGGGCCACTGCTCCCTTTCCTTCCGGCATCGCGGGGTGACAAAGTCACCCTCCGCTTGGAGCTCCAGAAAGGTGCTTCATGCAACGAAGGGAAATCCATCATGGGCTAAATCGCTTACCCCCGAACCGAGCTCACGAACAAGATGCGATCGGCTGATCACGGTTGTGGAAAATCACCAGTACTGAAGAAGCCATTTGCATGACAATTCTGCATCTCTTAACGGACTACAAGGGAGGGCAGAAACCACAAAGGGAACGTTCTCCGCCCTCCCGCCATACCCCAGCGGGCCTTCCGCTCCATAAAGCCGGTGAGGTTGACCTCCCGTCCGGCAACTGGTGGCTTTTTGTTGGACGTTGGACGTGGTTGGACCCCCAAACAGGAATGGCAACGGTGTCCTTTTGGTTTTCCCTTTAGAACCAACAAAATGGGAGTTACCCTCCAAAAAAGGCACGCCCATGTCTGGCGGCCTGCTTGAACCTTGGGCGACACAAAAAGAAAAAGGAGGCTGTTTGGTCTAGCCTAACACATGAAGCAGTTTTGGAGGAGACCCCCCAGTGATCCCCTTTAAAGGGAAATCCATGGCCGGTTGCTTGAACAATTGTGGTTTGAGTATGGCTCATTGGGAACCCTCTGGACATCGTTTAGGTACAGTAAAGATTTGATGTCCAACCGGTTTTGCTGCCAGCCCAAACTCACAGCCATGCTCGAAACGCGAACTTGCACCCATCTTTCGGAAAATACATGGTGCTGAATGGAAGCCAAGCGGAAATCCGGCGATCCCCGCGACCTCCGTGCTTGAGGAAGCTGCGGATGCAACACTGTGGAACACTGACTTGCTACATTTTCTTCTATGGGCCACTGGTAAAGGAAATTAGCCTTTATCCAGCATGTGAGGCACAGTCAAAACTACTTGATTGCCCAAAAGGACTTGGGAGACTCGGTTTGTTGCACACATGCGGAATGATGACCAACACACAAACTCACCCAAATGTGAGTTGCCACGACTGGGGAACCTCTGAAAGGGTGGAGTCTCCGTTTGGCTTCCCTTTGGCATCCCCAACCTACCTCAACCTTTTGGCCACAACCGAGCCTTTTGTATATCAAGAGAGATCCCAGTCTCCCGCGGATCTCGCTCTGTGGGAAATCAATTTGATTTCCCATGGCCATTACCATGACTCTTTGCAACTTGCACCCAACTGGCCCAGAACTGGGCCTTGCCTCCCACCGGATCCGAGATTCGATCGAAGCCGGGCCGATCCGCCTGCAGCATCTTTGGATCCAGGCCCTTGTCACCGGGCTCCGCGAGCTGTGCCACGCAGAAGCTGAGCCGGCTTTTCCGCACGCAGGCTGACTCGGTGGTTTTGGTTCTGACATGGCTAAGGTGTACGGCCTAAACCCATTGACTCCTGGGTCCACTAACGTGGCAGTAAATGCAGGCTTCACTGTTCTCCCAATCAAGCCAGGTAGAGCCACCACACACCCAAACACGCACAACAAACCCCCATGAGCCCTTGCAAACAGGCGAACAACCACACAGACACATTCACGAGCACCTCGACAGAATACATAGACAGCTAAAATTGCCACTACGGTGTTAGGGTGTTGAACGCTGTTCAGGCGGAAAAGGGGGTGAGGGGGGGAGGGGGAACGAGGGGAAGAGGGGTCCCTATTTCTATACATATCACGCCACCAAGAGGCGTTCAATTGGCCCAAATGGTGATATTCAAAACCGGCAACCAAATAATAGAGTTAAAAAATGGGGAACCCTAGAAAAGGGCAGAAACCCCAAACGCCACCAAAAACTAGACTCAAACAACAAAACTGGGGACCCTTGAAAAAGAAGTAGAACCCCAAACCGTTCAACAAACGGTCGCCGGGTCTGGAGTCCAGAGTGTCCAGACCGGACGAGGTCGAGTCTGGGCGCTCCCGGCTCCACCACGATGTCGTCCTCGAAGCCGAGCATCTCCGTGATGCGCTTGGCGATCCAGGGCTTCATCACATCCATGGAGACCTGAGTGTGGCTCAAAGTTAAACAGGAGGGGTTACGCAGGTTTTGGTCCGTGTTTCCACTTACCAGGGTTCCATTTTGGTACCGGTTTTTTGAGCCACAGCCACCTAACTTGCTGCGATAGGGAATGACTTAGCGAGACCGGGCGTTGGTTGATCATTCCCTGCTGAGAACCAGCAAGGAATGAATAAACCAGATCTAAGGAGGGGGTTGATCAAAAGGTCCTTTGCATGGGACCATGCAAGAAAACACTAAGATGATACTTCCCACATGGGAAAAAGTTACCCACAAAGGAAACCAACTACTTTGGGGGATCGCTATTTCGAGAAACACCCACACGTTGGCCAGACAAAGAAACCTGTTCTGCCTGTATCGGGCGATTTTGGGGTGTACAGGGACCCTGATAAGTACACGAGTCATTCTTAACCAAAGATCGATCGATGGACCAGCCGGCTCAGAAGCGCGCTTTCGACATGTCCACCTTCTTTGTGTAGTGATCAGGGAAGCGCTTGTTCTTCTCCATGTTCTGGCCAAACGTGAGGTCTTTGCAGCGCCAAAACAACAAAGACACCTTTAGCCGCAAAACGAAGGTGGCCACGAAGAATAGATTGCAATCGTCCGTTGAATGCGCGCCTCAAGTTGGGACTTGTTGCAGTCCCGATAAAGAATCACTCATTAGTCGGTCCCTTTTGTAGAAGAAAAGCGCGACCCGCCTCACCTTGGACTCATCAAACAGGGAACCTTCCCACTAGATCATCCCGCCTACCAACTCACTTCCTGAGTGGACCGGCAAAAAAAATCCAGACGTGTTGTTTCCCAGTCAAGCTTGCAGTCCAGGAACTCGAGCAGCAAGCCAAAAGTGGAACCAAGCTCTGACCCCCCTTGTTCAACTTGCTTTTGGGTTCTTTTTAAAGTCAGCTGCAAAAAAAATACAAACAATTCGAGGGGGCGCAGACTTTGGGCTTGGGTGACGTCAGTTGCTGAGTGCCACCCCGCTTTCCTTTCTGCAGTTGGGTTAAAGTAGACACAACTTCCATACTGGTCTGATTGGTGGGATTCCCATTGAAAGCAACTGGTCAACCCCACAACAGCTTCCAACTATGTAACTCCGAACGGGTCGCAAAAGTCACCGGTCAATTTCTATCGAGCTCACCGGACCGGCAAAGAATTCGAGATCGCCAGTCGAACAAGAAACTGATCGCAAGGGCTGCCGTGAGCCTCGGTTCCAGTCAACCTTCGGGTTGAGCCATGTCTTGCACGGCCTTGCCCAAGCCTTTCCCAAGCCGGCGGTTGGAATCCATGGAACTCACAAAATGTCCCTTCTGGCTTCTCTTTTAACGGCTCCCTTTAGATCCGGACAAAAGAAGGAGGTTCCGCAAGATGTTTCATGTCGCCCTCCAAGGAAGGCGATAGATGTTAGTTCCCTGTCTGTCCGGTGAATCATGCACCTAAATGGGGAGATTGTCATCCACAACCTCGTAACTGCAGGAGTGCTTTCGGTACCCAAACGTTGACACCTTCCGGCAGCGACTTTCCGCCGACTGGGGCATGCAAAAAAGAGCTGTCAAGTGGGAGCATGCTTCGCCCGTTGACGGAGTCGTTGGAGGGAAACACAAACCTCAAAAAGGGTCATGTTGACCCCGGATGAATAAACCCGTCCTACGAATACGGGAGCTGCTCCCTCCAAAAGTGTATGACCCTTTCATGATCAAAAACAACTGATCCGGGGTCCCCCCCTCCCCCCCCAAAAAAAACAAGAAAAGAAAAAAGACGCGACACCAAATGCTCGGTGTGGGACTTTCAAAGTGGCTGACAACAACACGAATCCCGGCCTTGATGATCTTCTGCTCGGCATTGACATGTTTCACCTCAAAGGTGAGATTGATTCACGCAAGGGGTGAGTCAAGTGTAATAACTACGTGACCCTGGAGTATGTGTCCGAAGTGTATATATGTATCCCAGAGGCTCGTGGGCCCTCCTAGGGAGGGTCCGGGGCCCTCCTAGGGAGGGACCGGCCTGTTTGTCGGATACGGGGCCCTCCTGGGCCCCCAGTGCAATCCGGACGGGATGGATGGAACCAAAATGGCCTCGAATCACGCCTCTCCTAGCATTACTATCCGACGGTTATCCGACGGTTATCCGACGCCGGGCCCTCGTAGACACTCAGTTTTGGGGGCCCAGGCCCAATTATCCGACGGTCATCCGACGGCTATCCGACGGCCATCCGACAGTTATCCGACGGCTATCCGACGGCCATCCGACGGTTATCCGACGGTTATCCGATGGTAATCCGAAGCTTGTTTGCAGCCCAAAGGTCCAACAAAAAACCAGCCCGAAACCTCCTACAACCGCGAGGGCCCGCGAGGGCCCAAGGGCCCGAAACATGAGTTGGGAGCGTCTGGCAGTAGAGTTTCTATTTTGTTTGTTGTGTGTGGCTGCCATGCTTTTTGTGCAGTTGGATTTTTTCTAGGCCTGTCACTGGCCTGCTTGGTCGGGCTGCTGATTCTCTTGAAGTGGGATGTTTGTAGTAGGGCTGTGTGGATGTCGCTTTCTTGGCGCAGTTGCTTTTCTTCAGGGCCTGTCGCTGGCCTGCTTGGTCCGGCTGCTGCTTTTCGTGAAGCAATATTTTTCCAAAGGGCTTCTAGTTTGCTTGTTCTGTGTGGCTGCCGTTTTTTTTTGGTTGTTGTGCAGTTGGTTCTTTTCAAGGCCTGTCACTGGCTTGCTTGGTCTGCCTGCTGCTTTTCGTGAAGTGTTTTGTTTCCATTGGGTTTCTTTGTGGCTGCCGCTTTGTTTCTCAGTTGGGTTTTTCTTCAGGGCCTGTCACTGGCCTGCTTGGTCGGCCTGCTGCTTTTCGTGATGTTTTTCAGTATAGAGATTATTGTTTTTTGCTTGCTGTCTGTGGCTGCCATTTTTTGGTGAAGTTGGATTTGTTTCAGGGCCTGTCACTGGCCTGCTCGGTCGGGCTGGTGATTTTAGCGAAGTGGTATTTGTTGTAGGGCTTCGAATTTGCTTGTTGTGTTTGAATGCCACTTTTTTGGTGCAGTTGGATTTTGTTCAGGGCCTGTCACTGGCCTGCCTGGTCGGCCTGCTGCTTTTTGTGAAGTGGGATTTTTCCCGAGAGCTTCTAGTTTGCTTGTTGCGTGTGGCTGCCGCGTTCTTTTTTGTGTAGTTGTTGTTTTTATAGGGGCCTGTCACTGGCTTGCTTGGTCGGGCTGCTGCTTTTCGTCGCTTTTCGTGAAGTTGGATTTGTTTAGTAAAGCTTCTAATTTGCTTGTTGTGTGTGGCTGCCATGTTTTTTGTGCAGTTGGATTTTTGCTCAGGGCCTGTCACTGGCCTGCTTGCTTGGGCTGCTGCTTTTCGTGAAGTTGGATTTATTTAGTGGAGCTTCCAATTTGCTTGTTGTGCGTGGCTGCCATGCTTTTTGTGCATGCTGTCACTGGCCTGCTTAGTCAGGCTGCTAATTTTCGTGAAGTTGGATTTTTGTAGTAGGACTTCTAATTTGCTTTTTGTGTGTGGATGCCGCTTTTTTGGTGCAGTTGTTTTTGTTTCAGGGCCTGTCGCTGGCCTGCTTGGTCGGGCTGCTGCTTTTCGCGGTCTTGTCTTTTTTAGTACAGCTGCTGCTTTGTTTGTTGTGTGTGGCTGCCATTTTTTGTTGTTGCGCAGTTGGATTTTGTTCAGGGCCTGTCACTGAAGCGCCTGGTCTGCTGTTTTTCGTAAAGTTTTTTGATTTTTTAAGTAAGAGTTGCTAATTGCTTGTTGTCCGCGGCTGCCGCTTTTTTGTTCAGGGTCTGTTGCTGGCCTGCTTGGTTGGGCTGCTGCTTTTCGCAAAGTGCTTTTTTTTCTGGTTTCTAATTTGGTTGTTGTCTTTGCCTGCCTGTTTTCTGCAGATGTTGTTGGCAATCTTTCTTGCGAAGAGCTGTTGCCTCACGCAGGGTGGTGGGCGGTGGGCGGTGGGCGGTGGGCAGGACATGCGGGTCATCAGGCGGGCCATGCAGGCCACAGCCGGACCAAGCAGGCCAGCGACAGGCCCTGAAGAAAAGCAACTGCGCCAAGAAAGCGACATCCACACAGCCCTACTACAAACATCCCACTTCAAGAGAATCAGCAGCCCGACCAAGCAGGCCAGTGACAGGCCTAGAAAAAATCCAACTGCACAAAAAGCATGGCAGCCACACACAACAAACAAAATAGAGTTTCCCAGACGCTCCCAACTCATGTTTCGGGCCCTTGGGCCCTCGCGGGCCCTCGCGGTCGTAGGAGGTTTCGGGCTGGTTTTTTGTTGGGGGCCTTGGGCTGCAAACAAGCTTCGGATTACCATCGGATAACCGTCGGATAACCGTCGGATGGTCCGTCGGATAGCCGTCGGATGGCCGTCGGATGGCCGTCGGATAGCCGTCGGATAACCGTCGGATAATTGGGCCGGGGCCCCCAAAACTGAGGGTCTACGAGGGCCCGGCGTCGGATACCGTCGGATAGCGTCGGATAACCGTCGGATAACCGTCGGATAGCCGTCGGATAGCCGTCGGATAACCGTCGGATAGCCGTCGGATAGGGGAGGTGTGATTCGAGGCCATTTTGGTCGATCAGCGATCCATTGATCCCGTCCGGTTTGCACTACGGGCCCACAAGGCCCCGTATCCGACAAACAGGCGGGTCCTTTCAGGAGGGAGGGCCCCAGACCCTCCCTAGGAAACCCCAACCAAGCAGGCCAGCGACAGGCCCTCCAACTGCGCAAAAAAAACGGCATTTGAACTGTTTGAACTCCCCGTGTAAAGAAACATCACTTTTGGGACCCGGGATTTTGAAATTTTGAATTGTTTGAACTCTCCAAGTACAGAAACATCACGTTGGGGACCCAGGATATTGAATTTTTTGAATTCCCCAAGTGCAGAAACATCACGTTGGGGAACCAGGATTTTGAACTTTTTGAATTCCCCAAGTAAAGAAACATCACTTTGGGGTTTGAACTTTTTGAACTCCCCAAGTAAAGAACATCACTTTCGGGACCCGGGATTTTGAACTCCCCAAGTAAAGAAACACCCGGCGGAACATCACTTTCGGGACACGGGATTTTGAACTCCCCAAGTAAAGAAACACCCGGCGGAACATCACTTTCGGGACCCGGGATTTTGAACTCCCCAAGTAAAGACACATCACATCACTTTAGGGGACCCGGGGTTTTCAGCGTTTTGAACTTTGTTGGTCTCCCCAAATCAGGAACTAGGATTTCACAACCCGGGTTTTTGACCTTTTTGTCGGTCTTTCAATCTCCCCAGCCCAGGAACTCAGATTCGAGGGGCCCTGGATGTTGACCTAGTTGGTTTCTTCCAAAATTCGCAAGTAAAGAAGCATGAATTGAGCGACTCAGCTTGCGTAGCTTCTACCAACCCAAACTAAATGAAACAAGCGGCCCCTCCAAACAACCAACAAAAACTAAATGAAACAAGCGGCCCCTCCAAACAACCAACCCAAACTCAATGAAACAAGCGGCCCCTCCAAACCTGCAACCAAGCCTAATAGAAAACCGGCCCCTCCAAACCACCAACACAAATTAAATAAAACTAGAACTATCAACCCAAACTAAATGGAACAAAAATGCCCCTCCACACAACCAACCCAACCAAGCCAGCAACCCAAACCAATGGAAAAACGGCCCCCTCCAAACTACCAACCCAAACCAAATAGAAAAAACGGCCCCTCCACGCAACCAAACGAAACTAAATGAAACAAGCGGCCCCTCCAAACCAGCAACCCAAACTAAATTAAAAAAGCGGCCCCTCCAAACTACCAACCCAAACTAAATGAAACAAACGGCCCCTCCAAACTCCAAATCAGCAACCCAAACTAAATGGCCTCCTAACTACCAACCCAAACACAATGTCAAAAACGGCCTCTCCAAACCAGCAAATGGAAAAGCGGACCCCTCCGACCAAACCACCAACGACAATTAAGTGAAACTAGAACCACCAAGCAAAAGTAAATAGAACAAGCGGCCCCTCCACACAAACAACCCAAAACTAAATGAAACAAGCGGCCCCTCCAAACCAGCAACCCAAACCAAATGAAAACAGCGGCCCCCTCCAAACTACCAACCCAAACTAAATGAAACAATTGCCCCCTCCAAACCAGCAACCCAAACGAATGCAAAACCGGCCCTCCAAACCACCAACCCAAACTAGATGGAAAAGCGGGTTAAATGAAGCTAGAACCATCAGCCCAAACTAAATGGAAAACGCGGCCCCTCCAAACCTCTTCTTTGCAAAGCCAGGCCTTCCCCGTTATTTTTATTATGCTTGTGGGTTCTCAGACGCGCATTTTATTGTACCAGGTCCACATTGTATTGCGCCAGGATGATGCCATTGTTCGGGTTATGATTATACATGGCTATGGTTTTTAAGGGGCATGCAAAGCCCGACGCGGCGCGAACCTTGGTACGGAGGTATGTAACGGGGGCTCTTGTAACGCTGTAGCGAGAGAACAGTGCTTGACACTTCCACAATTCCAGCTCGAAAGTTGCATTTTTTGATTCACCCGGCTGCAACGTTTCTTCTGCTGAAGGGCAAGCTCTTTGCAAGTTATTTACATCAATTCTGCTGTTTTAACTGTGTGTTGTTATCTTGTTTTCTATTTGTTGTCTTATCTACTTGTTTGATCTTTTATTATTTGTTATTTTTATCTGTCTTTATCTCTTCCTAGTAAACGAAACAGTAGATAATTACTAAGTTCAGATTAAGTGTCCGGTATCTAGACTATCTATTTGCTTTCTCCAATCTGCGCTATGTTGCCACGAGCCTTAGCCCCCCCCCCCAACCAGCCCGAGGGCCCGTGAGGGCCCGCGAGGGCCCGAGGGCCCGAAACATGAGTTGGGAGCGTCTGGGATATATATATATATATATATATACACCTATATACGTGTATACTGTATATATATATATATATTATAGATGTACAATATGTGCATTTGTTGTCTCATCATGGAAACAGGGATCTTGATCTTGGTTGCTGTTGACCCCCCTGCAAAAAGTTTAACTTTTTGGGGGGTTTAGTAGAAAACACCTTTATTTCCCAAAAAGCTAAAGTCCAACCCAAGAGCAGTCAAGTGATGGTCCTTGCCCCCCAACCTCTCCTTTTCTATGGACCCCCTCCGATAGCTCCCCCCGCCCAAAAAGAAAGTGTTTAAGCAAACAAACCCTAGGCCCGTTCAAATGAAACGAAGAGGAGGGGTTGTTCAAACAATAGGTGTTTGAACATGCTCAAGCTAGGAGTTGGCCCAACCCTCCCCCCCCTTCTTGAAACAGCTTCATGGGATTCTAAGCTTTGCCCCCCGCGCCATCTGCCTTGCTCCAAGTACTTTAAGCATCTTAAGGCCTCAGTGTTGAGTTCTTAGTCTGACACGCGCGAGGTTAGGGATCTGGGAACCCCAATTGATGTCGACTTGAGTGAATTGTCCAAGAAAAGCTAAACTCCGTTGGTTTTGCCACAAAAAGGGTCTTCCCAGGACCAACAAGTCCAGCCCTTCATGCACCCAAATGCTGACTGCTCAGAGCCTTCAGGTTTCATGTCAGTGGGGGGGGGGCATAGGGCACAGGGCAGTCGTGGCATCCATTCCTGAAGGTTGGCCCTAAAAAGGGTCCCTAAATGTTCTCAGATGGGTTTGTCACTCTTGTCTTTGAATGACGGAACCTCCAATTCTTTCCCCTAAAACACAGGGTTGCGCGCACAGTTCTGTTTCCCCAAATCGGTCCTGATCGGTGTTGGTGCCCCGGAAGAAGCCGGAAGACATGGCCTCGCAAGCGCGGGAACGGAAGGATCTACAACAGTCTTCACCCGGAACCCCCAGAACCACATTCATATGGCCATGGTTCAAAACCGTTGGTACATTTTGGGGTTTTAGGTGCACCACCGTCTACTTTAGTGGGGATTGGGATGTTCACTGGGGGTACGGGTTTTGACCCATGGCCATATAGAGGAGTTGTTGTTTAGGAAATGGAACCCCGTTTTGGGCAACCCAACATTAGTTTGAGGAGTAATTATGCAGTATACTTGCCACCCAAGCATCACGCCGTTTGAGTTAGACAATTGGACACGCCTCCAAACTACAGTGAAACTGAGGTTCGAATTGAGTTGGACAAACCATTGGGCGAGGCCGTTAGACACAAGCCGGCAGCCCGGTCGGAGCTTGTACAAACCATTGTGGCATAACGATCAACCGTAGTTGGATACGAGTTGGAATACGAGTTGGAATGAACTCAGCAATCGAACCAATTTCGCTCGAGTGGGATGTCCTTTCGTCTGGAAACCGTGCATGCTTTCAGGGTTTCGCTGCATGTCTTCAAACATCATACAAATTGGCAACCAACAAATGATGTTCAAACAGCACCAATGCAAGAGCAGTTTGGGGAATCCCTTCGGTAAGGTTTGCGAGATCACACAAATTACAAGGCCTCAGTATCCATTTTACCAGCCAGTAGAACCCCCCTTCAAGGGTTTTGAGCGTCTGTGGGGTAGCGAGAGAGTTTCTCTCTCCTGACTACCTGACTGCCTGGAGGACAGGCGGGGGAACAAAACAACTGCTTCGAAATTCGCTGACCCGACATAATGCAGCCTATTCTCCTTTCCACTTCTTCCGCACGAGTGGCTCGTCTTTCTGTTTTGGCCGGGATTCTCTTTTTGGAGGTGTGAAAGGAAACCACCAGAAGGAAGCCCACTCTTTTTTGGGGGGGTCTCTGTCTCCTTGAAAAAGACGAGCCAGCCATGTCACATAGCGGCTTCAGGGACCAAAGCCTTTGTCTCACTAGCGTGATCAAACCAGCACGGTTTCGGCCATCCGGGTGTGCTTATCTGCAAAAAGGGGAGACTTTCACATCCCCTTGTGTAGCCTTTAGACGGAGGTGCACAGAGTTCCAAAGCAAAGTAGTCTGCCAAAAGGGGTCGAACGAGCAAGAAGCAATGCATGTTCGTGGGCGGTACCCTCTCAAAACAAACACGCCGCACATCTTTCATCGCAGAACGCGAGCCCCGCGCCCGGCCTGTAATTAGGGGGTTCCGGGCGGGACCGGTCCCCCCGCCGGTCCCCCCTTTCTTGTCCAACCCACCCGCTGGAGATAAAAAGGGCGAGCGGCGGGAAGGTCCGGAAACTGCCTTGGTTTGCCCTTTCTGGCGCTTTTGCGTTTCCTTCATTGCTCCACCAGCAGCAAAGGCGATTTTTCGGAGTGAAGTTGGAGGGAACCCGTGAACCGCCGGGCGCCCAGTAAATCCCTTTTCGTTCGGTGTGCCACATTGAGCCATGGTTCACGAAACTGCCACCTTGAGCCATGGTCAGAACTCATGTCTAAGTCTCAATTGAAAAAACAATTGACGCACGTACGAGGTTCTCAACTTGGTGGACCCCTTTTAGATGACTTTAAAGGGAAGCCACAAGCAAACAACTCATTTCTGCTAGCGATCCCCCTGCCTGAGAAAGACCAGCGTAAAGATTCCTCATCATGGATTTGCCGGCTGGAAGAAGCGGACACGTTGAAATGTCTGATGAAGTGGGCAGCGCCCAACACCCATTCACTCGGGTCTACTACGGTGAGGTTATATACAGAAGGCTGTACTAAATCCACAACTCAACCAGGCAGTTGAACCATCTTCCAAAAGGGCCAATCAATGAAGGTTTCCAGGCGCTCCCCAAGTGACTGTCCTTGTTCATACCCCTTTGTTCACATAACCCAAAGCTTGCTGTTTCAAGGGCCCCACCCAGCTCAGAGAGTGAACGAAAGTTGCCAGCTTCTTGGCACCAAATTCGGCTAAGCTGAAGGACCTCAACGTGCACCTGCATAACTACCCAGAAAGTCATTAGGACCCGAACCCAAGGCAGAAAAAAAAAAACAACCTACGAAGGAAAAACGAGGTGTAGATAAGTGCCAGTACATCCGGAGCAGCGGGGCGGCTTTATGAGCTGTAGTTTGGAGCATGCTTCTTGTTCCCTTCCTTTCTTCTTTCTTTCTTTCTCGCTCTCACTCTCTCTCTTTCTCTCTCGCTCTCGTCCTCTCTCTTTCTCTTTCTCTTATGACTTATCTTCTGAATTTATCTTTCTCCATTCCTCTTGGTATCTTTGTCTCTACTTCCTTATCTTCCTCTCCTTTCTCCCTCTGTCTCCCTCTGTCTCCCTCTTTCTCCCACTTTCTCCTTTTTCCTGTTATCTTTCTCTTGCTCTTTCTCCGTATTTCTCTGTATTTATCTGTCTACTTCTTTATCTTGCTCTTCTCTTCATGTTTCTCTTTCTCCTTCTCCTTGTCCCTATCTTCTTGATCCTGTTTTATCTTTCTCTTTCTCTTCCTCTTTCTCCTTCTCTTTCTCTTTGTCTTTATTGTCTTGGTCTTTCTCTTCCTGTTCCTCTTCCTCTTCATATCGCTCTTTCTCTTCCACTCTCTCTCTCTCTCGCCCTCTCTCTCCCTCTCTCTATTAAGGGTCGACCCGCCGAAAGTCCACAGAGGGCTCACCTTTTGATGGCTGCGCAAGCTGACAGTGGTAACAAACCACAAGTCACTTGAGGTCCACCCATCGAACGACCGCAGAGGATTGCGCGAGCGAAGTGAAGATCGTTAAAAAGCAACACGAGTCTTTGAGGGTCGACCCGCCCAAAGTCCGCACAGCGTTCACTTTTTAAAGGTTGCAAAACAGAGAGCGCGACAGTGACCCATGTCCGAACATAGTCCGAGCACGCTCCGCGCCCTCTTCGCGACAGAAGTTTTGACATGCAAACAAGCCGACGAATCCACGCAAACTATTCCCCTGTTCTTGCATTTTGCAGTTTGTTCGTAGCTTCACGCACAGTGGATCTAGTCTTTAATGATCACATGCAAGCCAGGGGAACCCGGAGAAGGTTGTTTCTTAGGTTTGCCCTGAAAACCCAAGAACCTTACATAAAAAAAAGGTTTGCACACAATTTTGAGGGTTGTACGGTTGTTTCCGGGTTTGGTGTTGTTTTTTCGGGTTTGATGCATCAAGCCAGCAAGCACACAAACAACTCAATTCAGCATTAAGCGGCCTCAATCCAAGGGCCACATGCCAGTCAGCACCCGTCCCCTCAAGCGATCAGCACATATGTTTCTCACAGAGCACGGGGCAGGCCATCTGATGGTGTGGGGACTCGTGAACATCGAGCACATGCTTCTGCAGGTCCCAGGTTCTTCAGGTAACAGATCGATGTTTAGGAAAATGCATTCATGTAACAGATCCATCAATGGATGCTTAAGTGTATATATATGGGTACCATGGGCTGCTCAGAACGTACCCTAATCACGAAGAGCGTCCCACACCAACTTCGCGCTGATCAAGTAGGAGTCCAAGGTTCGCTCAGCAATCCCTCGAACACCCACTCGTCTTGAGATCCTGCTGGCTTTGCCAACAAAGTCCTCATCCATGCTGCAAGATTCTGCAATTGGAGAAATTGCATAGAATCCTTTCTCACCAGCAGAGAGAACCTCATGGAACTGGTGAAAGAGCATGTGCTGCTTTGGCAGCAATGGGAAGCGGCTTACGCCCCGGCCATGAAAGGCACTGCTCAGGCGAGCATAAGCCCGCACAAAGTAAAGGCCAAGCCCACCAAGCCGTTTGGCTTCATCTGGAGGAACCCAGAAGTCTGCCTCGTAAAGGCCGCTCATGCAATTGTTAATTGCCTTCACCGCGCTCTCCTTAGGCCCGACAGTCAGAGACACGACAGGAGCCGTTTCAAAGACCCGCTCACAACAACATGCCTCATGATGAGGGTATAAGCAATGATCCAACACCAGCCGAAGTGACATCCCCCAACCCTGGATTTGTTCATCATGATGGGGCAGCGTGGTTTCAGCAATTAATAACAACAACAATAATGGGAACAATAATAATATGATTTTTTTAAAAAACAAAACGTCTATGGGGCAGCGTGGTTTCAGTTAATAACAACAACATGGGAACAATGATAATAATACATATAATAATAATAATAAAAACATCTATAGCGCAAGGCCCGGTTCTGAACAACGCCCACCCAATGCGAGCAATACAGTAGCGCCCCTTAAAGTAACACACAAAGGATTCGCCCACTTAGATGGATGCTGATCAGCACATTCTACCCCCAAATGATTAAGGTAACTTTCCCCCGATAATGGCCGTGCAATAAAAAGACCCTCCCTAAATTCGAGCTGCCGCGCCGGCTGTGGCTGCAGCCCATGCACTGCGCAGGGTGCCCAAGATCCCTTTTACGGGAATTGTGGGGACGTCCAATGATGGCTGTACTGAAGGGTTCCTCAATTCATGTGAGAGTGTTTTTTTTTCAGATGCCCTCGGTCCTCCCAATGAACCCCAGCCAAGGGGCAATCAAGCAAAAAATGGGATCTTCATGTTGCGCCACGTGGTGGCGCTCACAAAAAGATTCAAGCCATTTACACAGCAAGACTGTTGTGTGCCCTTTGCTCCAGTGAGCCTGCACCGGCGCGGTTGAGCTTTCGTAGCCGATGGTGCCCTGCGAGATCCTGACCACAAGAGAGGGGGGTGTTCCAAAAAGAAGCGTGACTTTAACCAAAACAAAGGAACACCTGCTGGAAATACAAAGCGGCAGCTGCTAAACTTCCTGAAAAGGCTCTTTGCAATGTATGGCGACTCATTGGTCGAGGAGCAGAACTCAAGAAATGACCGTGTTGCAAACTCCAGCTTGCTGTCCACTGAGCGGCCCTCAAAGAAGGGAAAAAGGCTAGCAATAGCTGACGCAGCAAATTCCTTCCCCTGTCCCAGCTGCAAGTTGTGGAAGATGTCCGGGCGATGAAACTTTGGCTTGTATTCCGGCGATGCAAGCAGGCGAGTGAATGCAGCTTCTTCATTCCAGGGCAACCCACCCTCGATTGAATGCAGTGTTCCCAAGAAGGCAGGAGCGCTCGATGTATCCTCCCATGGGAAGCCCTCAAAGCCGGCATGGCAAAGATGGCATATGCCATGATTTTCCCCTCTGCTGTTTCTGTAACTCCGACATATTTTCGCAGAGGTCACAAGCCAAGACCAGTCGCCCTTCTGACCCAAGCAGCAGGTCCACATTGTTGCGCCTGACTTAAGCTGAATACCTTCATGCTCAAGAGTCCGGAGGTCTTGCAAAACTGGTTCCAATAAGTCATCCAAAACCTGATGATCCTGCGCGTAGAACCTCTGCATCATTGTGGCAAGCAGAAACCGTGTGGCGAACGTGTTCCCCTTCAAGTTGCATCGCATTTGTTCAGTACACCGCTTCCGAAGTTCAATGGTGCTGAAGGCCGGCTGGAGCGCAAAGATCAAAATTCCCTTTTTCTTCAGAGAACGCCCCTCATCCGCATGCAGATAATATGGAACTGTTTGATCAAGCTGAATGTTGGGTCTTCGGAAGATCTCATGACCAGGCTCCAATTTGCGATACCGCTCCCAAAACAAGCGCAAAGTAGGCTTGAGCAGAGCAAGTTCATGGGCTCCAAGAAACTTGTCAAGATTGCGGGTGGTGTCCATGAAGGAAATCCAATCCGAGGCCTTCAAATACGGGAATTTCTGGATAGACCCCACCATCAAAAAGGAGCGCTTCACCTTCAAGGTCAGGTTGTTGTTCTTCACTGCTCTGTGCAGCGCCCGCCCCTGCAATCAAGGGATTTCGTTTGCCAAAGATCTCCATGAACCCTATTGGTTGGAGCAACATCCTTATGTTCTACGATAAACGAGGAAACCTGCAGTTTGGCAATGTTGGATTATGGTGTGGCCAAAACAGTCGGCCAAGATATTTCAATGGTGCAGCAATCCTTCTTCATAGTCCCAAAGCCACACCATGTTCAAGAAAACAACCCAATAATAGGTGTATAGGAGACAAGGGGCTGAATGCTGGGGCCGAGCTTTTGCCAAAGCTTCCACCACCTTGTCATCCGTGTCTATGCCCCTCTCCCGGTCACGTTTGACCACAGTCTTCGCAGTTTCCAGCAAGCGCCGGGAAGGCACCTTAGACATAGGGCCCAAAAAAGGCCAGCAGTTTGATTTATGCAGGGAATATGCAATGGGATATCATTTGCACCGGTTCCATTGAGGCAATGAACCTTAACCAATGAGCTTGCTGATTTCTCCAAACCATGCTTTTGCCGGCTTCTCCCAAAATTGCACAGTTTTGGTGGGGTATTCG